AAAATCTCCTTTTCCCTTATGGGGTATCCAAGAGCCCCTATAAAGTTCTTAAGTGGGTTCCCTATCAGTAGTGGGTTCCTTATCAGTAGGAGCATCCTATTGGTGCTGGAGGAGACTCTTGAGAGGCCCACGGACTGCAAGAAGATCCAACCTCTCCATTCTGAAGGAAATCAGCCCTGAGTGCTCACTGGAAGGACAGATCCTGAAGCTGAGGCTCCAAGACTTTGGCCACCTCATGAGAAGAGAAGACTCCCTGGAAAGACCCTGATGTTGGGAAAGATGGAGGGCACAAGGAGAAGGGGATGACAGAGGACGAGATGGTGGGACAGTGTTCTCGAAGCTACCAGCATGAGTTTGACCAAACTGCGGGAGGCAGTGGAAGACAGGAGGGCCTGGCGTACTCTGGTCCAGGGGGTCACAAAGAGTCGGACACAACTAAACAACAGTCTCTGCATTACAGGTGGGGATGGACAGAGAATTTCAGTTTGTGTTTTAATGAAAAACCTGATTCACGCTTCCCAGAACAACATGCAAACTGGAATACAGCTGGTCCAGGGGGTCACGAAGAGTCGGACACGACTAAACAACAACAACAACACGACCCGGAAGCTGTATGCCGGCTCCCTCGGCCAATAAAGCAAGATGAGTGCCGCAACCCCAGAGTTGGCCACGACTGGACCTAATGGTCCCTTTACCTTTATGTTTACTGTATTATGTGTTATAAGAAAAACAGCAACTGCTCCCTTTCTCTTATGGGGTATCCAAGGCCCGTATAGAGTCCTTAAGTGGCATCCCTATTGGTAGGAGAAAATAACAGAGGCCAACCAGAGAATATTGAGAAGCAAAGCAGCTAGTAAGCCTGATCTTTATTGATCTGTTGCTACAGGGTCCTCACTCACCACACGAAGGAGGGAGGAGGAACCCAGAACGATGGTGCACAAGCCGTTATATAGACTCTTGAATTTGCCCACCCTGTAGCTCAAGACCACCCCCCAAAACATCATACATACATCACAGAAGGAGGCGGTCTACAGCAGAAATCCTGTCTGCCAGGATATCTGACAATGGTCACTGATTGCTTTACCTGGGCAGCCTAGCCATTCTTTTGTGATGGTAAATACTTTAATTCCTGAATCCAGGTCACAGGCTCACCCTATTCATACACAAAGATGCCCTAAAGACAGGTAAGCAAAAGACAATGGAGAGGTTTTCCCATTTCCTTCCTCCTTGCAGAGAAATATTTGAGGTCAATTTGGGAGAGTCGAAATGGTTTCAGGATTGTTCTCCCGTACTATTTCAGACACGTGGTTTACATACTTATGTATGTGTTTGCCTTGTACATTTATGAACATTTAATTTATATATTTGAGACCTTAAATTCTTATAACAGTACAGTGGTACCTCGGGTTACATATGCTTCAGGTTTCATATGCTTCAGGTTACAAACTCAGCTAACCCAGAAATACTACCTCAGGTTAAGAACTTTGCTTCAGGATGAGAGCAGAAATCGTGCGGCGGCAGTGGGAGGCCCCATTAGCTAAAGTGGTGCTTCAGGTTAAGAACAGTTTCAGGTTAAGAACGGACCTCCAGAACGAATTAAGTACTTAACCCGAGGTACAACTTTACTCTCACTTTCCTACTCATATTGAAATACCATCCCTCAAGGAAGTCAAACTTAGATTCACAAAATCTTTAGGGGAATGCGTCCCCCTGTGTCCCCCCACGGAAAAAAGAACAATTAAAAGTGCTGTGGGTGCGAAAAACGGAGCCCTGTTTATCCTGAACGTAAAATACCTGCACCCAATGAAGGTGAAGCTGGAATACAAAGCCCTTCCTATAATTTTGAAGGAAAATGTCACCAATCCACGTGTTGCAATTCTTTAGCTGCTATCCTTCAGAGGCGAGCCATTTTTTAAGAAAGTCATGGAGTGTTTATTCCATCACTTGGGAAGACAGGCAAACTAATATCAGTGTACTGGAAGAAGCAAAGATCACCAGTGTCAAAGCAATGATTCTTCAACATCTACTTCGTTGGACTGGTCATGTTGTGCGGATGCCTGATGATCGTCTTCCAAAGCAACTACTCTATTCCAAACTTAAAAATGGAAAGCGTGATGCTGGTGGTCAACAAAAGAGGTTTAAAGACTCTACAAGGCAAATCTTAAAAAATGTAGTATAAACACCGACAACTGGGAAACACTGGCCTGCGAGCGCTCCAGTTGGAGAACAGCCTTGACCAAAGGTGTCATGGGCTTTGAAGACACTCGAACTCAGGACGCAAGGGAGAAATGTGCTAAGAGGAAGGCACGCTTGGCAAACCCTCACCGGGATCAACTCCCACCCGGAAACCAATGTCTTCACTGCGGAAGGACGTGAGGATCCAGAACTGGCCTCCACAGTCGCTTACAGACTCATTGTTAAAACCGTGTTATGGAGGACAATCTTACTTGGCTACGTGGGATTGGCAAAGAAGAAGAAGAAACTAAGACCCCAATGGAAATATTACAAAGATAACAGTATATGAATAAGTATTGTTCAAATATTAACCTTCTGAAATGCTTTGACTAAGCTTGCACAGAATAATTAAATTAAATTTAAACGAGAGGATGAACAAAGAATGGACAAACAAGCTCATTGACTTGAAATGGAATTTATGCAATGTAGAACCTAGTTATAAGGTAAAGGACGGATGAGAACTGAGGGAGGGAAGACACGCAGGATGAGGAAGGTGGGCATAATTTTGTTATAATTGTTGATTGTTGGTATTGGTACTGGTATTTGTAGTGTTAGTTCTTTTTCATCTTTTCCTGTTTTCTTTTTCTTTCTGTATTTGTGTATGTATGTTGAATCTTTATACTTTTAAAATAAAATAATAATAATAATAATAATAATAACAATAATAATAATATTAATGACAAACAATGACAAACGTAGACAGCATCTTAAAAAGTAGAGAAATCACCTTGCCAGCAAAGGTCCGTATAGTTCAAGCTATGGTTTTCCCAGTAGTGATGTATGGAAGTGAGAGCTGGACCATAAAGAAGGCTGATTGCCAAAGAATGGATGCTTTTGAATTGTGGTGCTGGAGGAGACTCTTGAGAGTCCCATGGACTGCAAGAAGATCAAACCTATCCATTCTTGAGGAAATCAGCCCTGAGTGCTCACTGGAAGGACAGATCCTGAAGCTGAGGCTCCAAGACTTTGGCCACCTCATGAGACGAGAAGACTCCCTGGAAAAGACCCTGATGTTGGGAAAGATGGAGGGCACAAGGAGAAGGGGACGACAGAGGACGAGATGGTGGGACAGTGTTCTCGAAGCTACCAGCATGAGTTTGACCCAACTTCGGGAGGCAGTGGAAGACAGGAGTGCCTGGGGTGCTCTGGTCCAGGGGGTCACGAAGAGGCGGACACGACTAAACAACAACAACAACAAATGTGGACCAGGAGGCCTGCCTTCCACCCTGATGTACTGAGTATTGGAAATAATGGGGGCAGCACTCTGCACCAGCCCAGGAGACCTCTCATTTGAGAGCCTGTTTCCGGACAGGTTTTGGGATCCAAATCGGAAGAGTGTGAGAAGAGTCAAGGGCCAAGGGAACATCTGGTCCAGCGCCCTCTTGCCATCCCGGCCGACCGGATGCCTCACTGAGAAACCCGCAACCAGGCTTCGAATCCAAGACCCCTCTCCCTTCCGGTGGCTTCCAGATTGCGGAGGCAAGAACATGGCTAGCAGCCATCGATAGGCCTCTTCTCCGTGAATGCAGCCTGCCCTCTTTCAAAGCCAGCTGAGCCGGTGGCCTGTCACTGTGAGAGGGAGTTCCGCAGTCTAACTATACACTCAACTATGCGCTGCCATCTGCCGCCGGCTAGCACGGCTGATGGGAGTTGCAAAGGTCGAATGAAGTCCTATATTATATGTACACAGACCTTTTTATGCACGCTTCCTTGAGGACCTTTGGCCTAATCCCACACCCCAGTGGCGCAGCCAGGCGATGTGAGCCGTGTCTGGTCTGGCTAGGCTCATAATTAACAGGCAGCAGAGAACGCTGAGCTCTTAAGCTCTTGCAAAGCCGACAAAAGCATATGGTTCTTGTATTATTAACAGAGCCAGTGAAGTCTACCTTTTCCCCCCTTCCAAGCCCTCGATTGCCCACTAACACACAAATAAAGCTGTTTGCCCTCCTGATAACATCAGCCAGCTGCACAGACGCTTAACCCTTCCTGCTACGGCTCTGGCCTTCATCAGCTCAACAAGCGGAGCTAAGCCAGGGGTAGGCAAACTAAGGCCCGGGGGCCGGATCCGGCCCAATCGCCTTCTCAATCCGGTCCGGGAATCAGCGTGTTTTTACATGCGTAGAATGTGTCCTTTTATTTAAAATGCATCTCTGGGTTATTTGTGGGGCATAGGAACCCGTTCATTCCCCCCCCCCAAATAAAGTCCGGCCCCCTATAAGGTCTGAGAGACAGTGGACCGGCCCTCTGCTGAAGTTTACTGACCCCTGAGCTAAGCTCTCGCGAAGCGCTCCAGAGCCGTCAACAGCTGAGGTCTTGCACAGCTTATGCTGCTCACCAAAGCTCATCCTAATTGAAATATACTCGGAGTCGAGAGCGGATTTCGTGCTCTTTATTCAGCTCATAGTGGTGAGGAGGAATGGAAGTTCTCCCAGAATGTCTGCTTTATATACATTATTTACACAATGGGTCCCACATGATTGGCTAATTCCGGGATTCTCCTGTAGGCCAATCAGGTTGCGGATTCACCTCCACCTGGAGCTCGATTGGGTGGCTCCTGTGGACCAATCTGACTGCTGCATTCTGGACCCTATTGTTCTAGGACCAATCAGACTGCTGCATTCTGAATCCTATTCAACTCAGTACATAACACTAATTAAAACCGCAGAGGAGCGGATTTCTCCCAAGATTCCCTAATTTGAACCAGCAACCTGGTTTCTCCATAGTTTCTTTTTCACAGCTGCTAGTATCTTTGAGGAGAGTGGTCCCCAACACTTCCCTGCCTTCCATGGACGGCTTGGAAATCACCAAGGGTCTCGGCAGGCGACCGGGTGATTTTTCCGCCTGTTGCAGCAGTTGCAGGATTCTTAAATGTATTTGTCGTTGCTCCTTTTGCTTCCTAGATACTGCGTTTTATTGCATTGCCGTGCTGCTCCATAGAGTTCTGATCGTCTTCCTATAGACATAAAATTGTAAGGCTGTCGTCACATAGCTCCCATTGGAGGAATGGAAGTGTTGCATCACACACACACACACCCGTATTTGCATGAAGCTAGGCGGGGGGGGGGGGAGGTGAAAGAGAAGGCCAGTTTTTAAATGGAGGTTTTGAACAACAGCAGATTTTTAAATAAAGTCGTGGGGGGGAGAGACACCGAGGAGTTGTGAGGACATGGGGGGCTTGGATGAGATGTAAAGGGAGGGGATACAGGTTGTGCAAATGGGTGGTTGTGTTGACCAGTTGCAAGCAGGGGCAGCAGCGCCTAGTGAGACTATAAAATGCATAACAAACTTAGTTGGTCTCTAAGGTGCTACTGGAAGGAAATGTTATTATTTTTTATTTTGTTTCGACTACGGCAGACCAACACGGTTACCTACCTGCGAGAAGTGATGTTACAGGGAACCAAGCAGAGGGCCTTCTCAGTAGTGGCACCCACCCTGTGGAACGCCCTCCCACCAGATGTCAAAGAGAAAAATAACTACCAGACTTTTAGAAGACATCTGAAGGCAGCCCTGTTTTATAGAAGCTTTTAATGTTTAATAGATTATTGCATTTTAGTGTTTTGTTGGAAGCCGCCCAGAGTGGCTGAGGAAACCCAGCCAGATGGGCAGGGTATAAATAATAAATTATTATTATTATTATTATTATTATTATTATACCTGTAAATAAAATACAGTTAAGCATCCATATGACTGTTTATTTCACTTCTTTATTTTCTTTCATGAAATATATATACCACTTGATTGCAAACAAACAAACACAAACAAACACACACACCCCTCAAAGAAATTTACAAAAAAAGAATAATTCGTTTTAAATTTGAACCGTCGTTAATTCGTTGAAAATGTTGAAAATCAATGACAATTAACTGGCAAAAAACCGAATGCAAAAAAGAGGGATAAAACCACAAGATTATTGGTGAAAGCAGTTTGAAACCTGCTATTTAAAACATTCCCAAATGCATTTTAATACATCTGCCACAAATCCGCAGGCATCCTGCGATACACTCAAACGAACCCTGCAGGCAAGCACGGTTTGGGAACCGCCGTTTTACAAAACTGAGCAGGGGAGGAAAGAGTCGCAGCCACGCAGCCGCCTCGTGAGCCACTGAGGAACAGATGTGGGCAGGCGGCTTTTGCAAGAGGCGAACGGTGGAATCACGGTGTCTCAGCAGAAATGCAAGCATGACGCGTCAACCCACCACTCAGGGCGTCCGCGGGCGAGGAGACACCAAGAGCCTCTGCTCCAGGGACATCTGCTCTCCCTGTGTGTTTTGCAAAGGCAAGCAGTCGAACCGCGCAACCTGGCGAGAGGAAGAACGGCCAACACAAACTGGGAAAACGATGGAGGACAAATGCCCTGCTGGAAGAAGAGGAGAGTTGGCGTGGGCGGCCCTGGGTTTGGGAGGCGAGGAGGGTATACGCTTGTCAAGATAGACTGCCCCTGGAGCTGGTGGTTCCATCAGAAGAGGCTGGCTGCTGAGTTCTTAGGGGTATTTGGCCCAAATGCTGGACTTAGCTTCCAGCCGAAGGAACGCGCAGGACAGAGAGTTCACTTGTTGTTGTTGTTTAGTCGTTGAGTCGTGTCCGCCTCTTCGTGCCCCCCTGGACCAGAGCACACCAGGCCCTCCTGTCTTCCCCTGCCTCCTGCAGTTTGGTCAAACTCATGCTGGTAGCTTCGAGAACACTGTCCCACCATCTCGTCCTTCGTCGTCCCCTTCTCCTTGTGCCCTCCATCTTTCCCAGCATCAGGGTCTTTTCCAGGGAGTCTTCTCTTCTCAGGAGGGGGGCAAAGTCTTGGAGCCTCAGCTTTAGGATCTGTCCTTCCAGTGAGCACTCAGGGCTGGTTTCCTCAAGAATGGAGAGGTTTGATCTTCTTGCAGTCCTCCAGCACCAGAATTCAAAAGCATCCATTCTTCAGCGATCAGCCTTCTTGATGGTCCAGCTCTCACTTCCATAAATCACTACTGGGAAAACCAGAGCTTGAACTATATGGACCTTTGTTGGCAAGGTGATGTCTCTACTTTTTAAGATGCTGTCTAGGTTTGCCATCGCCTTTCTCCCAAGAAGCAGGCGACTTTTAATTTCGTGACTGCTGCCACCATCTGCAGTGATCATGGAGCCCAAGAAAGTCAAATCTCTCACTGCCTCCATTTCTTCCCCTTCTATTTGCCAGGAGGTGATGGGACCAGTGGCCATGGCCAAAGATGACACAGTTGCTTCTGCAGCACTGGATCCCTTTGTACAGTGAGGGAACCTCCAGAAGGCCTTCGGAGCTGGACCTCAGTGTCCGGGCAGAACGATGGGGGTGGAGACTCTCCTTCAGGTCTACTGGGCTGCGGCCGTTTAGGGCTTTCAAGGTCAGCACCAACACTTTGAATTGTGCTCGGAAACGTACTGGGAGCCAATGTAGGTCTTTCAAGACCGGTGTTATGTGGTCTCGGCGGCCGCCCCCAGTCACCAGTATGGCTGCCGCATTCTGGATTAGTTGTAGTTTCCGGGTCACCTTCAAAGGTCGCCCCACGCCACGTAGAGCGCATTGCTGTAGTCCAAGCGGGAGATAACCAGAGCATGGACTAGATGGGTCTTGGGCCTCATCTAGGAGCCAGGCTGTTTTTAGATTCCTATAGAGCATCCAGCTCCAGAGGCAGTCTATCTGGAATTCTCGGTCCTTTGGGGCATTTGGCCGCTGTGACGATGCAAGACTAGAATGGGCCTTTGGCCTGACCCAGCAACCAGCCTCCCCTTGTGTTCTTATGACAGACTGTGATCTGAGCTGAACCAGGAAGATGATCAACATCATCGTCACGGCAAAGGAGGCTCGCTCCACCTTCTGAGCCTCGCCTTCTCCTGCACTTCCTGATTGACTGGCCCACGGTTTTTGTTTTTTCTTTGGCGTGCCCGCCCTGCGAGGTTTGCCAAGCGGCTGGGAGGGCCAAACCAGTTCAGGCTAGCTGGAACCGGTGCGGGCCGGAGCTCGCAGAGCCGCAACGGAAGGTGGCGCCTCTGTCCCGGGGGAATCCCCGCTGGCCTCGTTAGAAAGGCACCCTCGCCCAAGAGGCGGCTCGGAACGTCACGGAGATGGCTGGGAGGGATGCAGCAGGTCATTCAAGTCCACCCCTTCTCCAGAGACAGAGACGTCTCCTTTGACAGACAGGTGCCGCCTCTTCCAGGAAGAGGAGAGGAAAGTGGCGGGGAAAGCCCTGCCTGGGACAGAGGAAGGCATCTTCTGGCCTCTCGAACCGTTCACGGGGTTGGCAAATCCTCTTAAACGGCTGCCAGCAGTGGTGGGGTTGGGCGATGCCCCACATCCGGACATAATGGTTCCGATTGCCTACCCTGGGCAGATGAGAGGCTGCTGGATTCAAACAGTGGCCCGTCTGGTCCAGCAACCTGCCCTCAAGGTGCCAAACACCCCCAAGAAACTAGGGGTCCAGGTAGACTGGCCCTGGCCCTGGAGGTTCCATAAAGAACACAAAAAGAGCCTGCATGTTTGACCGGGCTAAGGGCCCATTTAGCCTTGCATCCCGTTCCCACAAGAACATACCGTACTTTTCCATGTATAAGACGCCACCATGTATACACGCCCCCTATTTTTGGGACTCAGATTTATGAAAATTTGGGGGAGATGGCGCAGAGTTGTTGAGCTGTTTTGGGGGGATTACCCAGGGTCCTTGAGCTTCTTTTAGGGGGGATTGCCAAAAATCGCTCACCCGCACGCATCCAAAAATCCGCCTCTCGTCTGTCTCCTCGCCGGCAGAAGCTACCAATCGCCCGCCCAATTACAGCAGCATAATTTTAAAAGAAAGAAACATAGCCTTATACACGGAAAAGTATGATAACAAGAGCCTGGCTGCTGGAACAGGCCAAATTCCAGCATTCTGCTTTCACGGTGGCCAAATATCCGTCAGAACCTCAGAATCTCGATAGACTACCTCTGGACTTGGAGGTTCCACGAAAAACTCTCCTGCTGGCATTGCAGAACAGCTAATAAGGCGGAATGACGTGTGGATGGTCCAGTATAAACTCACCAGCCATGAGTTATTAGTTGGCCAATGGCACCCTGCAGAACCTTGAAGTTATGCTTGATAATCGGATACCAAACATATTCTTTTCTCGGACTTTGTTACGTCAACCCGCCTGCAACCGCATTCACCCTGCGTTCCTATTTTACAGCTTTCTTCCTCCATCTTTCGACTTCCACCTGCTGTTATCGTCGTTCTCGCCGTTTGATATACAGCGTACCTCGGTTTTCGAATGTAATCCATTCCGGAACACCGTTCGAGTTTTGAAACATTCAGAAACCGAGGCACCAAGGGCAGAAGCCGTTCGGTGCATTTGAAAATGGAAGCATCTATGGCAGCCTTTCTCAACCTGTGGGTCCCCAGATGTTGTTGAACTACAACTCCCATCACCCCTAGCTAGCAAGGCCAGAGCTCAGGGATGATGGGAGTTGTAGTCCAACAACATCTGGAGACCCACAGGCTGAGAACTACTGATCTACGGCGTTCGAGTTCTGAAACGTTCGTCAACGGAGATGTTCGGAAACCGAGGTACCAGTGTACATTGCAGAACCAAGCGGTGATTCGAAAGCTTCACAAAATAATAATTATGACGGCCGCATGTTGCAAGACCCACTGCTGTGGAGAGGCGGCGTGTGGGAGGACATGGCCTCTGGCACGTCGGTTCCCCAGAATCTCTCTTGCTCGCAGTTGACGGATGTCGCCACCATGTCTCTCCAAATGCACATTGGGCTTGTGTTAAGCAGCCCGTGATACAGATTTGAGCAAGTCCCACCAGAGTGAGTCAGCTGCTTCTGCTGCGCTAAATAACCTCTTTCCCCCATCTAGAGAACCATCAGAATGTTGTCACTGTCTGTCGGATGGTGTAAATTCTCCATATTTCCTGGATGTCACACATAGCCACAGGCCGCGCTTCCCACGACACCAGAATGAGTCCCTGTTCCCCAGAAAAGTGGATCCCGCAAACTCTCTCTGTCCGTTATCTGTGGGCCTGCAACCATTTCCCAGGCTGGAGGGGACAGGCTTCTTAAGGTTAGAAGAAACAGAACTGAAAGGGACTCAAGGTCATCTAGCCCAATGCATGAATCTCTTGCTCAATATGAGGTTCGAACCCACAACCCTATTGGTTAATAATAATAATAATAATAATAATAATAATTTATTATTTATACCCCACGCATGTGGCTGAGTTTCCCCAGCCACTCTGGGCGGCTCCCAATCGAGTGTTAAAAACAATACAGCATTAAATCTTAAAAACGTCCCTAAACAGGGCTGCCTTCAGATGTCTTTTAAAGATAAGTAGCTGCTTATTTCCTTCACATCTGAAGGGAGGGCGTTCCACAGGGCGGGTGCCACTACCCAGAAGGCCCTGTCTGGTTCCCTGTAACCTCACTTCTCGCAATGAGGGAACTGCCAGAAGGCCCTCGGAGCTGGACTTCAGTGTCCGGGCGGAACAATGGGGGTGGAGACGCTCCTTCAGGTCTACTGGGCTGAGGCCGTTTAGGGCTTTCAAGGTCAGCACCAACACTTTGAATTATGCTCGGAAATGTACTGGGAGCCAGTGTAGGTCTTTCAAGACCACTGTTATATGGTCTTGGCGGCCGCTCCCAGTCACCAGTCTAGCTGCCGCATTCTGGATTAGTTGTGGTTTCCGGGTTACCTTCAAAGGTAGCCCCACATAGAGCACATTGCAGTAGTCCAAGCTGGAGATAACCAGAGCATGCACCACTCTGGAGAGACAGTCTGCGGGCAGGGAGGGTCTCATTCTGCGTACCAGGTGGAGCTGGTAGACAGCCGCCCGGGACACAGAATTAACCTGCGCCTCCACAGCTGGCTTTAGAATGGTCGTAGATCAGGCACAGGCAAACTCGGCCCTCCAGATGTTTTGGGACTACAACTCCCATCATCCCTGACCACTGGTCCTGTAAGCTAGGGATGATGGGAGCTGTAGTCCCAAAACATCTGGAGGGCTGAGTTTGCCTGTGCTTGTCATAGATTAATACAGACCTTAATAAAGGACCGGGCCTCCAAACTGAGAGTAAATATGCCTCTGAATCCCGGTTATGGGATGCATCTCCCCAAAATGAAACCACGTAAGAAGAGCCTTGAATCCGGATCAGACCAAAACGGACCTGGGAGAGCAGGGTTCGAATCCCCACTCAGCCATGAAGCTGACCGTGGGCTAGTTGCCATCTCTCAGCCTAACCTGCCCCATAGGGTTGCTGTGAGGGTGAAATGGGGAGCAGAAGAATCATGTACGCCACATCTTGAGCTCCCTAGAGGATAAATGTGGTCTATAGATGTAATAAATAAATAAGTAGAATAACAATAAATGCACCAGATTCCCCCAATGGGAAGTCTGCAAGTCTGATGGCCTGGGACTGGGGCTCAGACTCGGAAGCAGAGGGGACTCAGTCCGCACCGGATCCTTTGCCTCAGGCATCACCTGAACCAAGTCTGGGGCCTGATCCTGAAGAGTTCCAGTCTGCACAGGTTCCCCTGCAACAAACCCCAGCTGGGCCGAGTCAGGCGCCTGATCCTGCCCTGGCTCCAGATGCGGGGATTCCCTTGTTGCCTCCAGCTGGGCCATCACTTACAGCTGCTCCACTACCGGTTGGGTCAGGGGAAGCTGAGGCGGCCTCTGGGTCTAGTCACCCACCGACGTCTCCCGAGCTGCAGAGACTGAGGTCTGAGAGAAGGAGAGACCTGAGTACTTGCAGGAGGAGTGCTCAACTTCGGGCGAAACAGGGTGGTGAGTTGCTGGGGGATCAGGACCGGCCTCTACCCCGACAGAGATAAAAGGCTGTCGGACCCTGCCCCAGGTTGCGGGAGCAATGTTGCTATTTGCCAGAACCTGCCTGAGATCCAGTGCCTGTCCTTGCCTGGTTTTCTGCCTCGTGTCCTGCCTTGGCCCTGTCGGACTGACTCCTTGCAGAACCTATGGATTCGGGACCGGACCTGGACTGCGTTACCCGGGTTACCCCTGGGCCCAGCACAGCAAGACTGCTCTCCTCTCTTGCTGTGTGCAGCAACGGGCATTTAGGGGTATTTACTGCCTCTGACGAGACGTGGGTAGCGCTGTGGGTTAAACCACAGAGCCTAGGACTTGCCGATCAGAAGGTCGGCGGTTCGAATCCCCGCAATGGGGTGAGCTCCCGTTGCTCGGTCCCTGCTCCTGCCAACCTAGCAGTTCGAAAGCACGACAAAGTGCAAGTGGATAAACAGGAACCGCTCTGGCGGGAAGGTAAACGGCATTTCCGTGCGCTGGTCTGGTTCGCCAGAAGCGGCTTAGTCATGCTGGCCACATGACCCGGAAGCTGTATGCCGGCTCCCTCGGCCAATAAAGCAAGATGAGCGCCGCAACCCCAGAGTCGGTCATGACTGGACCTAATGGTCAGGGGTCCATTTACTCCCTCTGTCATTGAAGGAAGGACATAGCCATTGTGGCTAGTAGCTCTGCGCAGACCTCTCTCTCTCTCTCTCTCTCTCTCTCTCTCTCTCTCTCTCCATGAGTTTGTCCTACGCCGCCTTAAAGCCATCCCAGTCAGTGGCAATCACTATATCCCAGGACAGGGAGTTCCCCAGTTAGTCTACCTGTCAGGTGAAGAGGATTTGCATGGGATTTGCATGGGCTACGGTAATTTAGATGCAGAGGTGCCAATTTAGAAACAATGACTACTATGTAAACAGAAATCTAGTTGGTGGTGATGAGGTGAACTGTTTGTCTGTCTGTCTGTCCAGTCTTCTGCCCAGGGGCTGACTATGGATGGGAAACACTTGCCTTACCAGTAGTACATGTGAAAAGGGTCTGGGGTGTGTATGTCTTAGTAGGCCACAAGCTTAGCATGAGCCAACAGTGTGATGGAGCGGCAAAAAAGGCTGATGCTATTCTCGGCCGCATCCACAGCTGTGTCCAGATCAAGGGAAGTAATCCTCTGGCTCTCTTCTGCCTTGGTCAGTATTCATACTGGGAATACTGTGTCCAGTTCTGGGCACCCAAATTCAAGAAGGAGGTTAACAACCTGGAAGGGGTGCAGAGGAAGGTGAGCAGGATGATCGAGGGTCTGGAAAGCAAGCCTTGTGAGGAACGGTTGAGGGAGCTGGGGATGTTTAGCCTGGGAGGTGATAGGATAGACATCTTCAAACATCTGAAGGGCTGCCACGTGGAAAAGGTAACGAGCTTTTCTCCTGCTTAGATATATAATAAATGTTCATAAATGTACCAACCAAGCACATACATAGATCAGCACTGACTGACCTGAAACCATTTTTGCTTCCCAAACTGACCAAATGTTTTCTCTGCAAGGTCGAAGGAAAATGGAAAATGTATTTTCCTTCACAAATCCTGTCTTAAGGGTATATCTGTCTGTGTTTGAATAGGGTGAGCCTGTGACCTGGCTCAGGAACTAAGTATTTGTCATTACAAAAGACTGGCCAGGCTCCCCAGGGTATCCAATCCAAGCATTAACAGGTGACCTGTCAGACGAGATAAACAACGCACTCAGATTTCTGCTGTAGACCGCCTTTTCTGTGATGTAGGGATGATGTATCTGGGGGTGGTCTTGAGCTACACCCCTTCTGTGATGTATATATGATGTTTCTGGGGGTGCTCCTGGACTCCAGGGTGGACGATTTAAAATGTCTATATAAGGGCAGACACACCTTTGTTCTGGGTCCTCCTCCTTTTCTGCGTGTGAGAGGAGGTACCCTGTTGCAACAGATCAATAAAGATCAGGCTTACGAGCTGCTTTGCTTCTCAATATTCTCTGGTTGGCCTCTGTTATTTTCTCCTACCAATAGGGAACCTACGTAAGGACTCTATATGGGCTCTTGGATACCCCATACAGGGAAAAAAGGGCAGATTTTGTTTACAACAATGGGCAGTGATGATGGACACCCATTGGGTGGCTTTCAAAGAGGATCAGACAGGTTGATGGAGGAGCAGAGGGCTATTGATGGCTACTAGCCATCCGCTGGAGGCAGGAGGTATACTTGGGAATCCCAGCTGATGCAAACTGCAAGAGGCGAGAGGGCTTGGTTCCACCTGCTTGAGGGTTACTGACAGGCCAGCTGCTGTGAGTGCAGAATGCTGGGCTGGATTGGCCATTGGCCTGATCCTGCAGGCTTGTTGGGCCAGTCAGGGAAGAAGGCATCTGATCACCTTGCGGAGCCCAGCAGAAGGCCCCCATCTTGCACCTGGGCCTCTCTGCGTCTCACCTGTCCTCAGCTCCCTGGGGTTGCTACACACCTGGCTGGGTCTCTCTCTCTCTCAGATGTGCTGAGGTGACTTTGCAAAAGAGCAGTTGCTTGGCACCTGGGTCCCTGTGGCAATGGGGCGAGTGTGCTTGCATGCACAATAGGCTGCTGTGTGTGTGTGTGTGTACGTGTTTGTCTTTCAGGCGGGAGAGATAGTAAGGAAGGTGACGTCACCCCCATCATGTGAGAAGACTCAGGTTGTTCCTTTGGCTGGCGGGCAGGCGGTGTTACTCCGTCAGCCAGGCCCTGCCTTTTCCAGGAAGAGCTGGATTGCTTTGGCGGCGCCGCCCCCACCCAGTCTGCATCAGCCAGGGATCCCAGGAACCGCCTTCCCAACCCTCTCCTCGCCTTCCGGCAGGCTTCCCCCCTCCCCAAAAAATGAACCACTTCAGTCTCCAGGTGGGCATGGGGTGGGGACGTTGCCTTGGGGAAAATGCATGCAGAAAGCTAGCATATCGAAGTGGGGCTAGCTTTCTAAGTGTGGGGAGCGGCTTGGTCCAGAGCAGTGTTCAAATTGTGAATCTTTCTCCTCGCCATGGTCTGAAACAGCATGGTTGAATCACCTGTTTGTGGGAGGGAAGGCCTCTGTGTGTCTGAGTTTGCCCTCACCTTTTAAAAATTAAATGCTGGCCTTTAATTTTTAATTTTACCTTTCCCGCCCAGCCCTGGCCACAGTGATCCATGCGACGGTCACCTCCAGGCCTGACTACTGTAATTCGCTCTATGCGGGGCTGCCCTTGAAGCTGACCCAGAAACTCCAGCGGGTGCAGAATGCCGCGGCGAGACTCCTTACAGGGTCTCTGCCATGGGAGCATATTCACCCGGTGCTTTTCCAGCTGCACTGGCTCCCGGTGGAGTACAGGATCAGGTTTAAGGTGCTGGTTTTGACCTTTAAAGCCCTTCATGGCCTAGGACCCTCGTATCTACGGGACTGCCTCTCCCGGTATGCCCCATGGAGAGCCTCAAGGTCCATAAATAGCAACACCCTAGTGGTCCCGGGCCCTAAGGAAGTTAGATTAGCTTCAACCAGACCCAGGGCCTTTTCAGTGATGGCTCCAGCCTGGTGGAACGCTCTGTCTCATGAGACCAGGGCCCTGCAGGATCTGATTTCTTTCCGCAGGGCCTGCAAGACAGAGTTGTTCCGCCTGGCCTTTGGCTTGGAATCAACTTGATCCCCTTCCCCTCTTTCCGTTTTCCTTTCTCCTTCTGTGATGGAACTCCTATTTGGGGACTTCCCTGGCTTTTTTCTGGCCCACGTAGGACCGGTCTGGATAGTTGGCCTTGGTGAAGATTTGACATTTTCATCCCCCAAAAGTTTTTGATTTGAGTTTCTACTGAAATGAGGCTGCACCTTAATGTTGTGTTTTAATCTTGTTTTTAAGTTGTATTTCAATCAATTTGTTTTTATATCGGTTGTTAGCCGCCCTGAGCCCAGTCTTGGCAGGGGAGGGCGGGGTATAAACAATTTTTCCCCCCTATCATCATCATCATCATCATCATCATGTGTGCCAGGATAGCTCAGCCTTCCCCTCCACTCAATCCCAGATGTATGTTGAGTGAGTGGGGCTGGTTAGGGCAATCCTAAAATGCTCAGGTGCACTCTGAACTGGACTGTAAAATAATCACAGCAGGCCCCACACTGGGCAAAATATTCCTGCATCGTGGGGGGTTGGACTAGATGGCCTCTGGGGTACATCCCAACTATACAACTCTACAGTTCTAGGGTTCTATTACTGCTTTTTTCAATACAGGTTCTGTGTTGAGCTTTGGCTCAGTTTACACCCTGATCATTCTCTCAGGAAGAAATGTGTCATGGTTTGGGTTCTAAAGTCCACCTGTTCAGGATCAGAAAGTATTTACACACACTGACCTCTCTCAGCCTGGAAATTATGGGGTGGCCACACAGGGTGGGCAGCACCCACGAAGTTTAACAACTTCTCCAGGCTCCCTGGGGTTTTCACTCTGGGACCTGGTTTGGCTGAGAAGGGAAGGAGGCGAGATAAAATTGCAGGAGGTGGTGCGTCTGATCATGTGCAGAGTGCCTTCACAATTGACCTGTTGCAGGAATTTATGTATAGGTTGGGGGCGTTGCACATGCGCATGCAGCCCACTACCAAAATCAGCACAATCACTTTTGTGACTTTTGTGATTTGTCCCCACAAAACAGTTTCTTCCTATCTATTCCAAGGGCCTCTGCTGCACGATACCAAATGTAAGAATTCACTGATAAATGGATCTATGTACTGGCTCACTGGGGAAACTTCAGAAATTCATATAGACATGTGAGCTCAGCTACTCAGCAGCCCCTCTGCCTGAGTGATAATCCCTGGCATCCTGATACCTGAGTGCCAGACAGGTAGCCATTCCAGAAAGAACAAACCCAGATGAAAACAAAACGGTATGACAAAGGGGTCAGCCTCTTTTCTTTGGCCTTAGCCCCACCCCCGGCTGGTTGTCCATTGTCCTCCCTGACTGAGGGCAGGTCAAAGGTTGGCCCAAGCAGGTGGGAGGCACCCGCCCAGGTGAGCCCCCGCTTGGTGCCGCAAACCCCGCCCACCTGTGGGGAAGGGAAGACGGAAATTGTTACACTTGATGGGTGTTTGGTGGAAGGCAAGGGGAACCATGGGGCAGGATCCAGGATGCTCAGATTACTGCCACCAGACCTCCCCTTTCATGATGTAACTGTGATGCAGTTTGGGGGGGGTGTAACATGGGGATTAGCAGCTAATAAAAGTTTGGGTTCTCTTTTGTTCAGGGCATCCATCTTCTTCCACCTGGTGGCAGGTGGGAGTCCTGTCGCGACAGTCATCAATCAAGACCAAGACTACTGGCTGCTGTTTCGCTCTGGTATTCCTGGCTGGTGTCCTTGTTTTTTCGTCCAAGGGAGCCCTCAGATTTCTCTGTTAACAGACCCCCCACCTCTGCCTTGCCCACGCTCCAGCTTTTGACCGATGCCAAGGATATGGTTTGAATCCGCCCAAAATATATTCTTGGCGGAGATGAATTTATGGAAAGCAGGACAAAGTTAGGGGAAACACCCAAGGAATTCTGCAGAAAACAACAGGAGGTCTCTCTCCGTCCTGGCCTTGGTGACTCACGAAAGGCATTTCTAATGTGTTCATCATAGGAGGAAAGTTAAAGTGGGGATAAGAATGCTCGCCCCGGAGTTTAGAACAGCACTGCTGTGCTGACGCCAGGACTGGGTTAATGGCTCACTCCTCCCTGGGGAGTTTGACAAGTCAAGGACAAACAGTGAGCTCATTGTGCCAAGAGGCTCAGGTGAGCTGTTTACCTGCTGGGCTGCCTCCACTGAGCTGCAGTGAGTGGCAAAGGGAGAGAGAGAGAGAGAGAGAGAGAGAGAGAGAGAGAGAGAGAGAGAGCCAGCTGCCTGGATCCCAAAGCGGGAGATTAGGTCCATTTCAGTGCCTTTGTTGTGACAAAGAGCCCAAGAGATAAGAAGGAAAGAGAGCAGTGCTGCCTCTTTCCCTTGGTTTGCAAGGATGCAAGCCTTTGAGCGGCACAGATCTCCTCCTCTCTCCATTACCGGACCAAGAGCTCTGTAGAACTCAGAAGCTTGCCTGCTTGTGCAGTTTTCTGTTTTTTAACAAGAGGCACTTTTGAACCAGCGGTAGAAGTGGGAGGGCAAGAGAACAACAGTCCCACCAACTCAGATTAGGGCTGATTGAAAACAATCAATTGTTGTGAGGAGGACCCCAAACCAAGGTGTGCCCGCCCTTATATAGACATTTTAAATTGCCCGCCCTGGAGTCCAAGACCACCCTCAGAAACCTCATACCTACATCACAGAAGGGGCGTAGCTCAAGACTACCCCCCAGATACATCATACCTACATCACAGAAAAGGCGGTCTACAACAGAAATCTGAGTGCATTGTTTATCTCCCGTCGTTGCTTATTTCCTGTCTGGCAGGTTACCTGTTAATGCTCACTTGACTGGATACCCTGGGGAGCCTGGCCAGTCTTTTGTAATGATAAATACTGAGTTCCTGAGCCAGGTCACAGGCTCACCCTATTCATACACAGACATACCCTTAAGACAGGATTTGTGAAGGAAAAGACAACGGGGAGGCTTTTCCATTTTCCTTTGACCTTGCAGAGAAAACATTTGGTCAGTTTGGGAGTCAGAATGGTTTCAGGGCTGTTTTCCTGTGCTGCTTCAGACATGTGGTTTATATATTTATGTACGTGTTTGCTTGGTACATATATGAACATTTATTATATATATAAGACCTTAAATTTTTTACTTCACAATCTATCTATCTATGGCTTGAGATTTCCTTGTTTTCCAGCCCTCTATTAAAATCAGTTTTGGAAAGCAAAAAGAGAACGCGGCAATCGAAGGAATGCGGAAACTGCCTTTGCTAGAACAGACCACCCAGTCCATCGTCACATTTGCCACTGAGTTCCCTACAGGACACGGTGGCTTCCCCAAAGACAATTCTGGGAGCTGTAGTTCATTCGGGGACCTCTATTCCTCTCATAGAGCTACAATTCCCAAAATACTCTGGGAAGAAGGATTGATCATTGTTAAACCACTCTGGGAACAGAGGCCTCCAAAAAACACCCTTAACAACCTACAGCTACCGGGATTCATTGCAGGGAGGTGTGACTGTTTAAAGCGGTGTCGTAGCGCTTTAAATTTATGGTGGAAAATGTGGCCTCGGTGCCTTCTAGAGGTTTTGCGCTACAATTCCCAGCAGCCCCTGACGGCGAGCAACGCTGGGGGGTCGATGGGGAGCACAGCAGGACTTCTGGGTGCTGGTGGGACTTGCAAGTCCAAAAAGATCTGGAGGGCACCAGGCTGGGGAATGAAAAAAGCGAAATCCCAAAGGCACCCTTTTCTTCCCACAAGGAAGCTCCTGTTTATCGAAGGCCCTCTGTTGAGCAAGCGACATCCAAGGCGGTTTTAATTTTAATTACTCCTTAGGCAGACAATTGACCAACTCCGGCTATTTAATCGGCGGCCGCCTGTTGCTTATGGCATTGTTTAAGTGATCGTGTCATTTCCTCAATATCTCCAGATCTCCAAAGGCGCCTGCTTCGATATTTCAGCCCTTGCAAAGGCACTGAAATTTAATCAACCCGGGTGACAAACCAGCAGGCTGGCGCCTTTCCAAGAGCAGATTTGTTTTCCTTTCCCTGCCTTCCGCCACCTAGGGAAACCATCCTGGCAACCACTGCCCTTTTGGGTTGTGGAAATGGTCAGTCATAGCAAACAGGCACCAGCTGGAGGGGTTTTTTCTCCTCCCTCCTCTTCCCCTCCAGCTCTGTTGTGCCATAAACCATCTCCTTGCGACATCCGACCGAAGGAGAGCAGGCAATCCCCTTCCAAAACACTCCCTGCTTCCTTGACACCCGGAAAGCACATGTTGCAGGCCTGCCGACGGAGCATTGCGCTGCCTCCCTCCCAGAAGGGTATTTCCAGACTGGCTTGGCCCGGCCTCTCTGCACAACGCTCAGTGCCAGGGGTTTCCCCAGTAGCCGAAGGCAGAATCAATGCGCTCCATTAAGACATCGGGAGAAACCTCTCCCACCGCTGGAGCCGATTCCTGGAAGGGGATCAGTTTCTGGGAGAAACTGCATCCCCAGAAAACCAAGCTGGCTATCTTTCCACAGGAAGGAGGCAGCAGGAGACCTGACTCTCCAGCAAGACGAAGCCATCCTGAGCTCCTTCCCTTCTCCTTTCATTTTTGCCTAAACCACCCACCCCACTTCTCAGAAATCACATCCATTTTTGAAGAACCTTCTCCGTTTCTTGAAGAAGGCAGGAAGACCTGCGCAGAAGAGCCTAGATCAGGGGTGGGCAAGCTAAGACCCAGGGGCCGGAGGTGGCCCAATCGCCCTTTCAGTCCGGCCCACGGACTGTCCGGGAATGTCTTTTAGAAGACATCTGAAGGCAGCCCTGTTTAGGGAAGCTTTTAATGTTTAATAGACCATTGTATTTTAATATTCTGTTGGAAGCCGCCCAGAGTGGCTGGGGAAACCCAGCCAGATGGGCAGGGTATAAATAAATTATATTATTATTATTATTATTATTATTAATTAAATTTTTGCGGTCTTATACGATTCTCCAGCAGGTGCACCAAAGACAGGCCTGCCGCAGGGGAAATCGGGACCAGCTGGGAGGCTGGCCTGTTCTTAAAGGGCCAGTGTGTCGGAATAGCACACATGTCCTGGACTACAACTCCCATGATTGTGCTGACTGGGGCTGATGGGAGTTGTAGTAGAAAACATCTGGGATTCAGGTTTGCAGAGGCAGAGTTCCAGAGAGTTCGGGGTACTGTGGTTCATTAACACTGTGGATACATGTGGTGAGCAACATTTTCTGGAGATGACTCAGTCTATGGTTTTCATTGGGTAGAATCATAGAGTTGGAAGAGTTCAACCCTCTGCAATGCGCGAATCACAACGAAGGCATCCCTGGCAGACGGCCATTCAACCTCTCTTTAAAAACCTCCTCCGCTTTCCCAAGGCCTCTGTTCTGCCATTGAAAGGCTGTTAGAAAGTTCTTCCCAATGTGGAGCTGGGATCTCCTTCCTTGCCCTTTTTTTAAAAAAATAAAAAATCTTTCTTTTTTATTTTTGATTTATTATACCGACACCAACACAGACAACACTCACAAAACAAACTAACAAAAAGATACTACGGCTACAAGTGCAAAGCAGATGTTACAGATACATCCCTGTTTCAGTACTTATTCATTTCTATTTGACTTCCTTCATCCTCAACGTGGGGTCCGGTTGTAAACTCAGTCAACTGTTTCTTTCTCGATTCCTCTTCTCTATTTTTCTCTTTATCTTACGTTCTCACGCCCTGATTTATTTTGCGGAAATTATTCAAGACAAAGTCCAGGTATTAATTTGAGGGCACTGCTTTTCCAGATACTCGCTGTATTTCCCTTCCTTGCCTTTTGTTGTTAGAATGTTATGTTACTTTTATTGTTGTTAGCTGCTCTGAGCCCGGCTTTGGCTGGGGAGGGCGGGATATAAATAAAATTTTATTATTATTATGATTATTATGATTATTGTCCTACCCTCTGGAGCAGGCAGCAAACAGGCCTCCTCTCCATCATCCATGGAACGGCCTTCGGATATTAAAATATGGCTAGCATATCACTTCTCCATAGTCTGGGTTAGGCTGCTGCTTTCAACTTTAGAAGGAGCCTCAGTGAGGACTATAAACATGCATACGTATGTGTTTTGAAAAATACATAAAACGAAGCGGAGATCTTCGGGGGTGTCCAACTCTTCTGTCTGGAGTCCCAGATGACTGACTGGCAGCTGTGACAACAAGCTTGCATGATTTTGTGATGCTGCGTCAAAAGGTTCATGTCCCCAAGACAGACATTCTGTGGGCAGGGACATTCCCATGGCAAATTCCCTCCGTTGGGAAACCGAAAACCTGTCTGGGCCCATCCTGCACACATTCATCCCTGCCTTAAATGCCCTGCGGCTGCTGCAAGCTCCTTCCATCTCTGGCTAAGAGACTTTTCACGTAATCGACATTGACTTTGCCCCAGAAAGATTTATCGCTTGAAAAACCAGTCAGAGCTGAGCCTATGTCCTTTCCTGGACGGGTGGCCTAGCAAATGGACTAAGATGGAGAGATCTGGTTTTGGCGTGGCCTAATCTACCACTGCTGCAATCGGGTGGTGATTACCCAAATCACAGGAGAGCCTTTGCCCTATATAGAGATCTCTGTGCATGCCTAGTAGCACTGTTGTCTTCTCAGTCTCTCATTGACTCGTCTCTAACTGTAACATTCATTTTGCATTGTTATCATTATTATTATTCTGAGCATAATTCAAAGTGTTGGTGCTGACCTTTAAAGCCCTAAACGGCCTCAAAGGCCCAGTAGACCTGAAGGAGCGTCTCCACCCCCATCGTTCAGCCTGGACACTGAGGTCCAGCGCCAAGGGCCTTCTGGCGGTTCCCTTGCTGCGAGAAGCCAAGTTACAAGGAAACAAGCCAGAGGGCCTTCTCGGTGGTGGCACCTGCCCTGTGGAACACCCTCCATTCAGATGTCAAATAGAACAACAACTACCTGACTTTTACAAGACATCTGAAGGCAGCCCTCTTTAGGGAAGTTTTTAATGTTTGAAGTTTTATTCTGTTTTTAGTGTTCTGTTGGGAGCCGCCCAGAGTGGCTGGGGAAACCCAGCCAGATAGGCAGGGTATGATGATGAGAAGAAGAAGAAGAAGAAGAAGAAGAAGAAGAAGAAGAAGAGCTCAGTTGATTAAAGTGTGGTGCTGAAAATGGCAAGGTTGCAGGTTCGATCCCCATACTGGAGAGCTTCATATTCCTGCATGGCAGGGGGTTGGACTAGATGACCCTCAGGGTCCCTTCCACCTCTGTGATTCTGTTATTATTATTAACACCCCACCTTTCCCCCAGACCAGAACTTGTCTAAACTAGGATCTATGTTCCAAACCAGCGTGACCAGTATTTCGGACCCCAGTTGCCTTGCAACCTCACGCTGGAATTTCCACGTTACAAGCTGACCTTGCAAGGAGCATGCTTTTTGGGGTGTGTGCAATGTTCTGTCTTCCTCCGGCAGGTGGGGAGGACGCCGCAGAGCCCAAAGGGACTCTATTATCAGATGAGAAGTTCTCAGGTTCTTGTGCGGGGATTTCCCCCTCTGCTTTAGCAGCCAGATTTCTGCCTCCGGTTGTGCAAACTTCAGAGAGATCATTTGAATACCAACCGCCAAAGAAAGTTGGGGACAGGATTTTCTCGCTGTGCTTCTGGTCTCCTCCCTCCATGTTGTGCCCAGACAGCGCCGCCGCTGCGTCGACAGAGATGGCACTGCACGCCGGTGAAAATTGGCCATGCCAACACCACCATCTTCTTGGCGCTTCAGGAGGGGCTGTGGGAAAATAGGCACTTTCCCACACCTGTGGTGGGGCTGCCCACAGGGATTCAAACTCCAGACGAGGTCTTGTTCGTCAGAAAGGACAAAACTCCTTCAATGTCTCGTTCTAACGTCGCCGCAGCTTTTGTTCACTCAAAACCTATGGGATGACCGCCCAAAAGGTTTCAGCTCTCAGCAGCCTGATTGAATCCTGTGCTGTGGATGAAAAGAGACAGAATGATCTGCCGCCCAGCAGAGGCTGGTTTGAAGGCCAGATCCAGCAGCAGAGCATACAGAGTTGCAGCAGGAAGACTCCTTTGGAACCTTTCGCGATTCATTCACTCCTTGCAGTCCTCTAGTGTGGTTTGCTACATTGTTAAAGTGGTACCATGGGTTAAGAACTTAATTCGTTCCAGAGGTTCCATTCATAACCTGAAACTGTTCTTAACCTGAACCACCACTTTAGCTAATGGGCCCTCCTGCTGCTGCCACGCCACCAGAGCACGATTTCTGTTCTCATCCTGAAGCAAAGTTCTTAACCCAAGGTACTATTTCAGAGTCTGTAACCTGAAGTGTATGTAACCTGAAGCATCTGTAACCCGAGGTACCACTGTACTAGGAATTAATGTGCTAAAGATGCATCAAAATAAAGTCTTATAGCCATACAGGGGAAACTCAATACTTGTTCTACAATAACAAGAATAACCATATGCTTTCCTCCTCATGCAACTGACTGTAGGGGCTTTAATACCCGTAGTAAAGGTAAAGGGACCCCTGACCATTAGGTCCAGTCGTGGCCGACTCTGGGGTTGCGACACTCATCTCGCTTTACTGGCCAAGGGAGCTGGCGTACAGCTTCCGGGTCATGTGGCCAGCAGGACTAAGTCGCTTCTGGCGAACCAGAGCAGCGCATGGAAACGCCGTTTACCTTCCCGCCGGAGTGGTACCTATTTATCTACTTGCACTTTGACGTGCTTTCGAACTGCTGGGTTGACAGGAGCAGGGACCGAGCGACGGGAGCTCACCCTGTTGTGGGTATTCGAACTGCCGACCTTCTGATCGGTAAAACCAAGAGGCTCAGTGGTTTACACCACAGCGCCACCCACGACCCTGTCATGACAAAATGCCTGTAGGATTATGGAGGAAGGCCACACCTAAGTTCTGCCTTCCAAGTCGGAGTAAGATGCCATTGGAATGGAGCGAATCACTTAAGGCATTGATTTTATATGAATTTCTGGAGATTTTGTATGTTTTCCCCTTCAGCCAAGTTCAAAAGATGCATTGTAACACTTCTGGGCAATTGAAATCAGAATGGATACCTTTTATGAATCCAATTCCATTGTCTGCCCAGCAGGGCGGCGCTCAATCGACCAAAGGCAGGGCTGCCTTCCCAGCATTGCAGTGATTCCCTGCCGACTGCATGTTCCAGACACTTGAGGTTGCTGTTTGCAACATCTGATTGGCTGTCTGTCAAAATCTAACCATCCTGATTGGTCAGTCAGTACCCATTCACAGAAAATGTGGAGTTTTTCATAAAAAATAATGGTATTTCATTTAAGCATGCATTTAATAGTTGGTTTCACTTGTGCCAAAGAATTAGGACAAATGGTTCGGGGTTTTAAGGTCATCAGCGGTGTCTCCGAAAAATTTGACACATCACACTTGGGAAGTCAGGCGAACTAATACCAGCGTACTGGAAGAAACAAAGATCACCAGTGTTAAAGCAATGATTCTTCAACATCAATTTCGTTGGACTGGTCATGTTGTGTGGATGCCTGATGATCGTCTTCCAAAGCAACTACTCTATTCCGAACTTAAAAATGGAAAGCATAATGCTGGTGGTCAACAAAAAGGGTTTAAAGACTCTCTCAAGGCAAATCTAAAAAAAGGTAGTCTAAACACCAACAACTGGGAAACACTGGCCTGCGAGCGCTCCAGTTGGAGAACAGCCTTGACCAAAGGTGTCCTGGGCTTTGAAAACACTCGAACTCAGGATGCAAGCGAGAAACGTGCTAAGAGGAAGGCACGCTTGGCAAATCCACACCGGGATCAACTCCTGCCCGGAAATCAATGTCCCCACTGTGGAAGGACATGTGGATCCAGAATTAGCCTCCACAGTCACCTATGGACTCACTGTTAAAACTGTGTTAAAACTCGGCTACAAGTGATCGCCGAAGAAGAAGAATTGCGTATGGTATCGGGGAACGGTCAGGCTCATCGTCCTGACTTTAGCTCGAGACCATGGTGGGGACTTGGCACTACTCCTGGAGTAGTAGTAGTGTTGTTTAGTCGTTTAGTCGTGTCCGACTCTTTGTGACCCCTGGACCAGAGCATGCTAGGCCCTCCTGTCTTCCACTGCCTCCCACAGTTTGGTCAAACTCATGCTGGTAGCTTCGAGAACACTGTCCCACCATCTCGTCCTCCGTCGTCCCCTTCTCCTTGTGCCCTCCATCTTTCCCAGCATCAGGGTCTTTTCCAGGGAGTCTTCTCTTCTCGTGAAGTGGCCAAAGTCTTGGAGCCTCAGCTTCAGGATCTAGAAAAGCCAAAATTTGGCTCCCTCTGCCTCCCGTCAAACAGTTCTGTTCTCACCCAAGCGCATCTGCAGAACAGTCCCCAAACAATTCCCCAGGCTGCCCTGGCCCTGTGTCACCCCAGCCAAGCAGGATGGGATGAGTCAGATGTGTATGTCTCACGGAGGGCCAGACGCTGGCATCTGCACGGCAGGGGTGCTTTCCCAGCACGGAGAGACCTGTGGGTGTGGGAAGAGCGCTTCCAGATAATGTCTGAGAGAAGGAGGTGTTCAGCTAGACAACGGAGTGCCCAGGCAGCACCACGTAGATTTCAGGAGAGCCAGATCCATCTGTCCTTCTGCAGTCTGCCCTAACTTCTTCTCTGCAACACCTTCCTTTGCCTGAACTTGGGGCTCTCCCCCCCCCCCAGTTCTTATGCCAGAGTGGTGCATGGTCTACTTGTCTCCTGCTTGGACTACTGCAATGCTCTCTATGTAGGGCTACCTTTGAAGGTGACCCGGAAACTGCAAATAATCCAGAATGCGGCAGCTAGACTGGTAACTGGGAGCAGCCGCCGGAACCACATAACACTGGTCTTGAAAGATCTTCATTGGCTCCCAGTCCGTTTCCGAGCACAATTCAAAATGTTGGTGTTGACCTTTAAAGCCCTAAACGGCCTCGGCCCAGTAGACCTGAAGGAGCGTCTCCACCCCCATCGTTCAGCCCGGACACTGAGGTCCAGCACCAAGGGCCATCTGGCGGTTCCCTCACTGCCAGAAGCCAAGTTACAGGGAACCAGGCAGGGGGCCTTCTCGGTGGTGGCGCCTGCCCTGTGAAATGCTCTCCCAGCAGATGTCAAGGCAATAAAATGCTATTTTACTTTTAAAAGACAGCTGTTTAGGGAAGTTTTTAATGTCTGACGCTGTATTGTTTCTGATTGGAAGCCGCCCATTGTGGCTGGGGAGACCCAGTCAGATGGGCGGGGTATAAATAATAAATTATATTATTATTACAGTGGTACCTCGGGTTACATACGCTTCAGGTTACAGACTCCGCTAACCCAGAAATAGTGTTTCAGGTTACGAACTTTGATTCAGGTTGAGAACAGAAATCGTGCTCTGGTGGCGTGGCAGCAGCAGCAGGAGGCCCCATTAGCTAAAGTGGTGCTTCAGGTTAAGAACAGTTTCAGGTTAAGTACAAACCTCCGGAACGAATTAAGTACTCAACCCGAGGTACCACTGTATTATTTTATCATTATTATTTCCATTAGGGGCTTGTCCACACCTCGTCTTCATGTGATTTGCAAACCCCGCGTGCCTCCTTTAGTTTCCCCCTCGCCCAAGCGGCCTTCTCCTCCAACTACTGCCACCCCCCAGTTTCCCCTCTCTAAATCCAGAGATTGCCTAAATCTTTGAAAATCCGAATAAGAGAGCTGCGTCAGTTGCATAATCTGGCCTGCGGCTGAGCGGGCGCTGGAGGATTCTGGGAAGGGAGAGGCCCGATGGTCAAGTTCAGGTGCTGAGTAATCGGTTATTGAACTGGAGACCCCCCCTGTGTCCAAAGCCTGGACTGTGCCACCCCAGGACCCGGCTGCACAGAAGGCACCCTCCAGATTTCAGGGTGCTGGTCTGTGGGTGCCTTCTGCATCAGGTCATGGGTGCAATAAAAGCGCATTGCTGGAGCATTTATACCAGACCGTCCACACGTCGCTCTTCTTGTTTGGTGGTGTTCCTCCAACACAATTGTGCTATTGCCGCCCCGAGGAGCAACCTTGCGCTGTGGCACAAAGGAAGAGGAGCCGAAAATATCTCAGAGCATTTGTGGTACGTAAAAAGTTGCCCGGTTGCAGCAGGAAGTTACGGGGCTTGCCGTGGTTGGAAACGGAGAATCGTGTCCGCCCTCTGAAACTTTTGCAGGCACAAACAGTTCACGAGAGTGGGGTTGCGTCTGTCCAAGAGATCATGAGCCCAGATCATGAATACACACTTTGAAGAACATCTTTATGAGACCCTTGCCCTCCTCCACGAATCTGGCCCGTTAGTTCTGTAACCACCATTATCTATATTTTAAAAAAGGTGTGCGGAAGTTGACCGCTTCAGTTTCTTTTCTTTTTTAAAATATTTTTTATTAGGAATTTAAACAAAACATGTTATCTTAAAACATATCATCCTTAATTTTTTCCCCTATCCCCCCCCCCCCATAAAACAACACACACACACCCCGACTTCCCTCAGTTCCAATCTCTGGTTTCTCTATAGATCCTATTCTCTGCATGTTATAAAATTGTATAAATCCTTAATTTATCTGACTGGTTATTATCAATAAAAAGCTTGTGAGTGTTTATTCAAAGCCTTCCAAGGAGTCTAAATACTTTGTAAAAGGTTCCCATTCCTCTTTAAAGTCACAGTTATCCTTGTCCCGTAATTTATGTGTCAATTTTGCCAGTTCTGCATAGTCCATCAGTTTCTCTTGCCACAGTTCTTTGGTCAGGATTTCTTCATTCTTCCATCCTTGTGCTATTAAGACTCTCACCGCCATTGTCGCATACACAAAGATCTTTTTCTACTTCTTTGGCAGGTCTTTTCCTACAACCCCTAACAGTAATGCTTCAGGTTTCTTAACAAATGTTAGATAGAACATTTTCTTCAATTTATTGTATATCATTTCCCAAAAATTTTTAATTTCATTACATCTATATGAAGCCGCTGGGAGAGATCATCAGGGGGTTTGGACTGGGTGTCCATCAATATGCAGATGATACCCAGCTCTACCTCTCTTTTCAAATCAGAACCAGTGAAGGCGGTGAAGGTCCTGTGTCAGTGCTTGGAGACGGTTGGAGGATGGATGGCGGCTAATGGATTGAAGTTGAATCCTGACAAGACAGAAGTACTGTTTTTGGGGGGCAGGAGGTGGGCGGGTGTGGAGGACTCCCTGGTCCTGAATGGGGCAACTGTGCCCCTGAAGGACCAGGTGCGCAGCCTGGGAGTCATTTTGGACTCACAGCTGTCCATGGAGGCGCAGGTCCATTCTGTATCCAGGGCAGCTGTTTATCAGCTCCATCTGGTACGCAGGATGAGACCCTCCCTGCCCACGGACTGTCTGGCCAGAGTGGTGCATGCTCTGGTTATCTCCCGCTTGGACTACTGCAATGCGCTCTGTGTGGGGCTACCTTTGAAGGTGACCCGGAAACTGCAATTAATCCAGAATGCGGCAGCTAGACTGGTGACTGGGAGCGGCCACCAAGACCACATAACGCCGGTTCTGAGAGATCTGCATTGGCTCCCAGTACGTTTCCGAGGACAATTCAAAGTGTTGGTGGTGACCTTGAAAGCCCTAAACGGCCTCAAAGGCTCAGTATACCTGAAGGAGCGTCTCCTCCCCCATCGTTCTGCCCGGACGCTGAGGTCCAGCTCCGAGGGCCTTCTGGCGGTTCCCTCCCTGCGAGAAGCAAAGCTACAGGGAACCAGGCAGAGGGCCTTCTCGGTGGTGGCGCCCTCCCTGTAGAATGCCCTCCCATCAGATGTCAAAGCGATAAACAACTACCTGACATTCAGAAGACATCTTAAGGCAGCCCTGTTCACGGAAGTTTTTAATGCGTGGCATCTTGGTGTATTTTTGGTCTTTGGGGAAGCCGCCCAGAGTGGCTGGGGAAACCCAGCCATATGGGCGGGGTACAAATAAATTATTATTATTATTATTAATCCCACCACATATTGACTGCTTCAGTTTCGAAGGAGAAGTAACAGCACAGGGCCCCAGTCTGGAATGTGCACATAAGAAGAGCCTCTTTTAAAGCCATCACTGCCTCCCTCTTGTGGCAGGGAGTTCCACAGGTTAACAATTGCATATTTTTTAGCTGTCATGATGATCAGCAACCAGGAGGGGGCTGAAGATGGGAGTTGTAGTCCAGGGGGCACCAGGCAGCCGTAGGGTCTGCTCTGAGGGGGTCATGTGTGCCAGTTTCGGCTGCGTGGCCCCATAGCCTTGACGCCACTGAGCGAGTGAGCGTCAGCGGTAAGATCTGAACCCGGTATCTCCCCCATCTTGTGCGCACGCTGCCCGCAACTTCTTCTCCGGGGCTGTTTGTTTTGTTTTGTTTTGCTTGGGAGTGGCTGAAATTCGGCAGAAGTTGGAAGGCAATAACACACACACACACACATGCGGCGAGCGCAATTTCCTGTGCGCATGACCAACTTCCTCTCCCAGCTGGGAGAGGAAGTCAACAACTTCTTTTGTGGGAGATTCCCTCCTCCACTGGCCTAACTCTCCGCGCTGACATTTGAGAGACGTTATGCAAGTGCCCAGAAAGGAGAAGTGAGCCGGGATTCGCAAAGGAACTGAAAGGGTCCGTTTCTTGGTTGCCAGCAGGGCGTTTTCCTTTCCCATAATTCTTTGTGACTATTAAGGTTGCTTCTCATTTCCCAGAATCCTCTGGGGCCTGCTCAGCCAGAGACCAGACCCAAACATGACAATATGGCTTCTCACTTCCCAGAATCCTCTGGGGCCTGCTCAGCCGTAGACCAGACCCAAACATGACAATATGGCCTCTCACTTCCCAGAATCCTCTGGGGCCTGCTCAGCCATAGACCAGACCCAAACATGACAATATGGCCTCTCACTTCCCAGAATCCTCTGGGGCCTGCTCAGCCATAGACCAGACCCAAACACGACAATATGGCCTCTCACTTCCCAGAATCCTCTGGGGCCTGCTCAGCCATAGACCAGACCCAAACACGACAATATGGCCTCTCACTTCCCAGAATCCTCTGGGGCCTGCTCAGCCATAGACCAGGCCCAAACATGACAACATGGCCTCTCACTTCCCAGAATCCTCTGGGGCCTGCTCAGCCATAGACCAGACCCAAACATGACAACATGGCCTCTCACTTCCCAGAATCCTCTGGGGTCTGCTCAGCCATAGACCAGGCCCAAACATGACAACATGGCCTCTCACTTCCCAGAATCCTCTGGGGCCTGCTCAGCCATAGACCAGACCCAAACATGACAATATGGCTTCTCATTTCCCAGAATCCTCTGGGGCCTGATCAGCCATAGACCAGACCCAAACACGACAATATGGCCTCAATTCCCAGAATCCTCTGGGGCCTGCTCAGCCATAGACCAGACCCAAACACGACAATATGGCCTCAATTCCCAGAATCCTCTGGGGCCTGCTCAGCCATAGACCAGACCCAAACATGAGAATATGGCCTCTCACTTCCCAGAATCCTTCTGTTAACCCCTTCCTAGCAAGCACAGAGCAACAGCAAAGCTCAGTCTGTGGTTTTTCTTATATTCCCACCCCCCTATTTTGACCACAAACCGTCCCAACCCAAGGACACTTGATAACCAGAAGCAAGATCATAATTTCCCAGCAACTGAACCCTTATCTTGCGCCCGCCTCCATGTTTCCCGGCCCCCGGACCTCCCAGATCCTGTTTGTGGTTTAAAAAATAAAAGAACATTTGCCAAAAGACTCAGGACTAGGAATGGGTAAATGACAGCAGTTGCTGCTTGCAGACAGACAGACAAATTCAGACGGTGAATAACCAGGGGGGGTCACAAGGGTTTCGGTACCGCGGCGCTTACTCACAATTTCACGGCTGGTTTTTCTGCGCCCGCCTGGAGTTCTGTCAATGTGTAAACCCTTAGCAAACACGCTGCCCTATCTTTAGAAACAGCGTAAATGCACAGGGGTCACTGGTCATCTTCCAGAGGGTTTCGCTCTCGGTATCACCCCCGCCCGCTCAAGGCCAGCAGCCCGGCACCACGAGGGGCTATTGGACGTGTCCTCAGTTTTCAGGGCACCCGTGACGCGGTGCGCCGTTCCGGAAGCGTGGGCTGGGAGACCTCTGGCAGTGTCGCAAGGGCGGTCAAGGTGCCATCAGCGGCTTCTCCTGCACCCCTGGAAACGTCACTAGGAAGGCCCCGCTCCAGCGGATCGACGGGAAACCTCCAGACTCCCCTTCCCAGTCTTGAATTTCCTTGCAAACTTTCATAGCTATGCTCTGCGACACCAGTTATGAGTGCTGTTAAGCGGTTTGGAAGATCAAACTGCTATTGCTGAGCACAGTGGATTGGCAGGTTAACAACAACAACAACAACAAAATAATTTTATGATTTACATGCCGGCCACCTCACTGGGTTGCCCCAGCCAGACTCATTATATAATGATTATATCTATTTAGTGCTATTTTTCTAGAAAAAGAGGGGCCAGAACTCACTATGAATGCCTCCACCGCCCCCGCCCCGTTCTCTTATAATGGCAATGGTACCCACCTGAGAGGTGCCAGAATTGAAAGGTGCCAGAATTGAAAGGTGCCAGAACTGAGAGGTGCCCGAATCTATCTATCTATCTATCTATCTATCTATCTATCTATCTATCTATCTGTAATAAACAAAAAACTGCCCTTATTCCCTTATGGGGAACACAACAGCCCTTATAGAGTCCTTTGTAGGTTCTCCATCAGTCGGAGAAAATAACAGAGGCCAACCAGAAGCAAAGCAGCTAGTAAGCCTGATCTTTATCGAACTCTTGCAATAGGTACCGCTCTGGCGGGAAGGTAAATGGCGTTTCCATGCACTCTGGTTTCCGTCATGGTGTTCCGTTGCGCCAAAAGCGGTTTAGTCCTGCTGGCTGCATGACCTGGAAAGCTCTCCTGAAAGTGAGATGATGATGATGATGATGATGATCATCATCATCATCATCATAGTAGTAGTAGTAGTAATAATTTATTATCTATACCCCGCCCATCTGGCTGAGTTTCCCCAGCCACTCTGGGCGGCTCCCAATCAAGTGTTAAAAACAATACAGTATTAAATATTAAAAACCTCCCTAAAGAGGGCTGCCTTCAGATGTCTTAAAGAGAAGATAGCTGCTTATTTCCTTGACATCTGGTGGGAGGGTGTTCCACAGGGCGGGTGCCACTACCGAGAAGGCCCTCTGCCTGGTTCCCTGTAACCTCACTTCTCGCAATGAGGGAACCGCCAGAAGGCCCTCAGCGCTGGATCTCAGTGTCCGGGCAGAACAATGGGGGTGGAGATGAGTGCCACAACCCCATAATCGCCTTTGACTGGACTTAACTGTCCAGGGGTCCTTTACCTTTACCCTTTATGGTCATGTCACCTACAACTCACCCCTTCCCAGCAGGAAGAAGAGTAAGGAACAGGAGCTGTTCGAGAGCAACAATGAACCAGACAGAAATCCATTGGTGGAGTGTATTGGTACCACGTACTCTCAAAGTCCAAAATCAGGAAAGTCGGGAGGGCAGAGCGAAGTGTAAATGGTTGTATTGTTCTTTGGGAAGCGGGTACTTAGTGTCATTTAAAGTCTACTCAGTATTGAACTAGAGTAGATTCCAATGTATAGTTAGCAGAGTAAAAGCTTAAACAAGTTGCAGGATTCCCAAAAATAGACCAGAGGCAATATTTCATCTAGCAGAGCTTTACTGCTTGTTGTTGTTGTTGTTTAGTCGTTTAGTCGTGTCCGCCTCTTCGTGACCCCCTGGACCAGAGCATGCCAGGCCCTCCCGTCTTCCACTGCCTCCCGCAGTTTGGTCAAACTCATGCTGGTAGCTTCGAGAACACTGTCCCACCATCTCGTCCTCCGTCGTCCCCTTCTCCTTGTGCCCTCCATCTTTCCCAACATCAGGGTCTTTCCCAGGGAGTTTTCTCTTCTCCTGAGGTGGCCAAAGTCTTGGAGCCTCAGCTTCACGATCTGTCCTTCCAGTGAGCTCTCAGGGCTGATTTCCTTCAGAATGGAGATGTTTGATCTTCTTGCAGTCCATGGCACTCTCAAGAGTCTCCTCCAGCACCAGAATTCAAAAGCATCAGTTCTTCAGCGATCAGCCTTCTTTATGGTCCAGCTCTCACTTCCATACGTCACTACTGGGAAAACCAGAGCTTTAACTAGACGGACCTTTGTTAGCAAGGTGATGTCTCTGCTTTTTAAGATGCTGTCTAGCTTTACTGCTACTAAAGGCAAATGAGCATAATGGTCACCAATCCAATGCAATCAGGATTGGCCCTGTCCATAAGAAATCCAGTTGCAGCAGACTTAATTAACTTACAATTACCTATAAAAAGTCTAGAACCTTAACACTATATGCAGAACACCAGAACAAAAGAGATATAGAAAGCGAAAGAGAGTGGCCCTACTATTATAGTCAGCATGACTTGCAGAAGAGATAACAGAACCAGTTTAAACCAACTGTACTCTACTTCCCAGAAGGTACAACCCATGGTAGGCAAACTAAGGCCAAGGGGCCAGATCCGGCCCAATCGCCTTCTAAATCCGGCCCATGGATCAGCGTGTTTTTACATGAGTAGAATGTGTTCTTTTATTTAAAATGCATCTCTGGGTTATTTGTGGGGCATAGGCATTCATTCATTATTATTTTTCTCAAAATATAGTCTGGCCCCCCACAAAGTCTGAGGGACAGTGGACCGGCCCCCTGCTGAAAACGTTTGCTGACCCAAACAATCATGAACCTTCTGCTTGTTTCTCTCACAGAGAGAAGCTTCCGGAAGCTTCCAGAACCCTCTTGAATTAATCAGAATAGGAAAGACCTCTACACATCAGATCAATACTTTCTGCACATAAGAAATGCAAACTGGCACTTCAAAGGTCTCAAGAAATAGGGGTGGTTGACAGGGGTTTAAAGGTCAGCACCAACACTTTGAATTGTGCTCAGAAACGTCCTGGGAGCCAATGTAGGTCTTTCAAGACCGGTGTTATGTGGTGTCAGCAGCCACTCCCAGTCACCAGTCTAGCTGCCGCATTCTGGATTAGTTGTAGTTTCCGGGTCACCTTCTAAGGAAGCCCCACGTAGAGCGCATTGCAGTAGTCCAAGCGGGAGATAACCAGAGCATGCACCACTCTGGCCAGACAGTCTGCGGACAGGGAGGGTCTCATCCTGCGTACCAGATGGAGCTGGGAGACAGCTGCCCTGGACACAGAATGGCCCTGCACCTCCATGGACAGCTGAGTCCAAAATGACTCCCAGGTTTAGTTGGGAATCTCCCTTCTTGTTGTTTGAAGCCACTGATTCGGGTCCTGCCCTCTGGAGCAGCAGAAAGCAGCGTATCTTAATGCACACACAATTCTGCCTGGACGCTGAGGTCCAGCTCCGAGGGCCTTCTGGCGGTTCCTTCCCTGCGAGAAGCCAAGCTACAGGGAACCAGGCAGAGGGCCTTCTCGGTGGTGGCACCCTCCCTGTGGAACACCCTCCCACTAGATGTCAAGGAAATAAACAACTACCTGACATTTAGAAGACATCTGAAGGCAGCCCTGTTCAGGGAATTTTTTAATGTGTGACATTTTAATGTATTTTTAATCTTTGTTGGAAGCCACCCAGAGTGGCTGGGGAAACTCATCCGGATGGGTACAAATAAATTATTATTATTATTATTATTATTATTATTATTATTATTATTATTTTATTAAAGCAGCAATAACAGTCTGCCGTGAGATTGCAAGCTCCATGGGGGCAGAGCGCTGTGCTTTGCTCTCAGTGGACACTTCTACGGCAACCTTCGCCAACCCGGTGCCCTTCAGGTTGCCTGATCCAAGCACCACCCCAATGGGGGTGCTGTGGCGAGGCTTGGGTTTCTGCAGCCCAAGGTGTGTCGAACCCCGTGCACAAAGCATATTCGACACCAGCAACTCACGTTCCTGCTGAGACCGTGACTCGCTGGTGTGTGTGTGTATTTGCGACCGCTGTCTTTGTGCTTGTGGAGGGGTGGAAAGGAGGGGTTGACTCATCCCAGCTGCTCTGAAGAACCAAACAAAGCAAAAACTGAACCTGGAATGTGCTGAGAACAGGATGAGGGTGTGCTTGCGGGTGACTCATAAGCGCAGAGACGTCATGCCTGGGAAGCAGGGGTGTGCCTCTGCCAGTGTGTGCAGAAAGCACAGAGTTTGTGCAGACAGTACCGAGTTTGCTTTTCGCAAGCTGGGATCGCCAAGCACCTTGGTTCCACCCCCTATCCTCCGCAAATCATCTCAGAAGCAGCGCCTAATTCCCAAAAGGCTCAGAGACATGGCATGTTATCATTGCTTGGTAGGTATCAGAGCTCAGCCCTGGCAGGAAAAAGAACACGGCCAATGGATGTCAATAATGGCTTCTGGCTTTTAGGACACCCCCTTGGGGTCATTTGAAGTGGATTATAGCGAGAGTGTAGTTTGCTAGACCATCCACCTAGTGGAAGAAGCAGTCCGAATCTCGTCACTGACGGTTCCGGATTTGCCAGGCTCGCGACGCAAAGGTGGGTTGTCTTGAAAACGATGGCCCCAGTTTTGTATGTGTAATAAAGGAATGCTAAATCATTGGTAGGAAGTGTCTGGGGTTTCCAGTCCCTGTCGAAATCTCAAATGGGGCGCAATCGTCACTATTGCAGCTTTGCCCCGGGGTGAGCGGTGCCAAGCACACAGTGTGAGATTTCGGGCTGTTTCGCATGTGCTGCATTTGCTATGGCATGGCTCTGTCTTCTGAGCTGTGAGAAGCATCCAGGATTCCTCCTGACCCCTTTCCTGCTTATGTCAAACCACAGAGGCCTTTCCGAAAACAGCAACCAAACGCGAAGCCCCGACTCTCACGCCCGACGCTGCGTTATCACTTCCCTTTCCTGACTACAGATTCAGGCGTGAGTTCCCAGCACACCACTGAATCGCCAGGCTTCATTTAGCCATCGCATGCCGTAAAGGCGCATGGCAAGAGTGCCTCTGAGCATGTCCACAGCCAGCACTCGGTCCTTCCAGGACGAGGGGAGCCGGCAAAACGTCAGGCGGGAGGCCCACACATTTGGAAACGATTTGTATTTTGTTACTTAAAGGATGTCTAAATTAACCACCGCGGGAAACTCGCACCCATGTAGACACGACGGCAAAAGCTGCCTCTCCGGTTCTGGAAAACAGCCCTCTCTAGATTATGTTATTAAGCGTGAGGATTATTATTGCTAATAGCATGTTATTAAACTGCTAATTGCTGCCGTCTTTGTCTGCGGCGCTTACATAACGGGGGCACCGGGTTCACCTTGAGAACGTGATTTCGGCCCAGGCTCTCCCACGCTGACGCATCGTGTAATCAGATCATATTAGTCGGTGTGGTTTTCTTAATCAGGAAATACAAAAGAGAAAGAACCTAGTGCCCTTTCCATGCCACGGGCAGCGCTCTCTGCACTTACTGGAACCCGTGCCAAAGGCTCCATCTGGCTAACACGCAGATCACCCATGGGGGAGAAGCTTGCCCCATATGCAGAGTTACTACTGAGTAGACACAGCTGCCTCTAGCTGCACCTTCCTTTTTAGATACGAGTGCTGCAAAACCGTGGAAAGAGAGAGGAGGAATCAGGACCAGCACAGCCTATTCCTCACTGAGGGATGGAGGTCCATTTCCAGAGTTAAAAGTGGTTTGAGTTCTTCTGCATGCAATAACGTTGCTTCCCTCTCCTCCGCCACCTTACAAGGGGACCTGTGCTGCAAATGGCTGCAAATATAGGCAGTAACACAGCAGGTGAAGCACGCTTGCTGTGGCAAGAGTCAAATACAGGGGTCAGCAACCTTTTTCAACTGTGGGCTGGTCCACCGTCCCTCAGACCATGTGGGGGGCCAGACTATATTTTTTTGGGGGGGGGGAATGAACAAATTCCTATGCCCCACAAATAACTCAGAGATGCATGTTAAATAAAAGGACACATTCTACTCATGTAAAAACACGCTGATTCCTGGACAGTTGGCGGGCCGGATTTAGGTGATTGGGCCGCATCTGGCCCCTGGGCCTTAGGTTGCCTAAAGGTAAAGGACCTCTGACCATTAGGTCCATTCGTGGCCGACTCTGGGGTTGCGGCGCTCATCTCGCTTTATTGGCCGAGGGAGCCAGCATACAGCTTCTGGGTCATGTGGCCAGCATGACTAAGGTGCTTCTGGCAAACCAGAGCAGCGCACGGAAACGCCGTTTACCTTCCCGCCGGAGTGGTACCTATTTATCTACTTGCACTCTGACGTGCTTTCGAACTGCTAGGTTGGCAGGAACTGTGACCGAGCAACGGGAGCTCACCTAGTCACGGGGATTCGAACCGCAACCTTCTGATCGGCAAGTTCTAGGCTCTGTGGTTTAACCCACAGTGCCACCCGCGTCCCATTCCTGGACAGTTGGCGGGCTGGATTTAGAAGGCAACTGGGCCACATCCAGCCCCCGGGCCTTAGGTTGCCTACCCCTGGTCTAATATCTATGAATCTAAGATGAACTCTGCTGGTTCAGAGCAAATCTGCAGTCTGAGACAGGCTGACCAGGAAGGCAAAGGCCCCATTTATATACCATCCAACATTTCTCTGATGAAAATGGGGGTGTCCTATTAATAATAATAAT